AGGACCACGATGATACCAGCAGTTATACTAATAATAATTATACTAACTTGACTGATTTTGTTATAGATTCTCCTGATGTTATTTTTGGTGATCACATGAAAAGAGGAAGGAGTAAGGTTTACAGAGACTCTGAGAAAGTTCCTCTAGGTGACAATGATGAACTGGCAATGATATAAGACTCTGGTTCTTTAATTCCTCATCTCAGTGCACCAGTAACACTACTTTAACATATGAAAAGGTGCATCTTGGAGGTTTCTATTGTGTTGTTCCAGAAAATATCCATACACCTCCCATAGAAGGTTTTTCATTTTGAACCCCCTCACCCCTCTGGAATTCCAGTTTAGCTTCCTTTAAACATTTTTGCTGTTGATTCAACCTCTCTCCCTCCCCCCCCCCCCCCCTTAGAATTTCTGTTAACCTTCCTTGGGGTGGGTATGAATATTTCCTGGAACTGCATATTGAGACTCTTTGAGTGCATAACTTCATAGTCCTACCAGTAAAATAACATGGTAAGCTAAGGTAGATAACAAGTCTTAGTCTAAACTGAAGTTCCTTTAAGCTTTATTTTCATCTGTTTTTGTAAGTTTTAAATATCTTTCTCCCATTGCGGGGAGTTGTTTTTAAGTCAAAGACTTCCTTGTGAGATTCCAGATGTTCAGGTTTTCTTCACTTGTAACTGGTCTGGTCGAATCTGTTATACAAGCAGGCAGATTAGCGATATGTCAGTTTTTTGGGGAGTAGAAGTGGTTTTATTAAGTGGCGAATAGCAGCTGTAGTTGACTTGTGTTGTGCAATTTTGACTCTGGCTAGTCTCACAAGTTCAATTCATGTGAATTGTAACTAAGATTCTAGAGATCTGAGGGAGACGCAGGAAGATTTGTAGGGGCAGTTCTTCCATTTGATAGAACTGGAAACGATGTAGGATTCCTCAGTTCTCTTCTGTAAAGTGAAACACATCTTGTAAAGTGAAGACGGTTGTGAAGAAATTTTTCTTGTCATGTCTTCTATGAAGTAAACTGCTTTGAATATATATTCACCAGTTACCATTCAGAACGTTTGATTTGTGTCCATTTATGCTTTGTTAAACAGAGGGTGATATTTGAGTGTTACAGTACATCACTCATAACTATACTTGCAAACGTTTATGTAAGCTTACAATGTAGTACGCACAAGCATAGGAACCCTGTTTCTTCTGTGAATGTTTGGAACATGCTAAAATGCTTATTATCCTGCTAAGGGATGTGGTAATTTTGGTATATGTGCTGTCAAGTTCATGTGAAGCATGTTTGTGCAAAGATAAGCGCTTTTGATAATCTTTTATACCATTAAGATAAACAACAAAAACATATACCACTGTTTTAAACAGACAGTATGAACCAGTTACTGTTATGGTCATGGTTTTAATGAAAACTCATATGTCTTAAAATGCATCTAGTTGTTACAGTGGAACTCCATTAATCTGGTCACCAACGGGCCACAAAAATCTGGCCGTATTAAAGAGATTCTTTAAATAAGAAAATTACGGACTGAGCTTTTGTTCAGGCCAGAATAAAGTGGCTATAATAACGAGGTGGCCGTATTAATGGGGTGGCTGTAAGGTGGGGTTCCACTGTATTTTAGTAAAACAGGGAAGTTTTTGTTGAAAGCTTTCAATTTATTAGTGCAGCTTGTTTATTAAATTAAATTTAAGGTATATTATACCATTAAGTCAGGGGGAAGCTTTTCTACTCTTTTTCATTGTATCTCAACACGAATCGGTGTGTCACTAAGTGAAGACTGTTAGTAAGTTTAAAAAGTGGTAGTTTACATTTACCTAGTTTTCTAGAGCATTTTAGAGTGCAAACATACAGCACAAGTGTAAGACAGTGCATTTGATTTGTTTTATACCCTGATTATACGTTAAGGAAGCCTAGACCTCAGGAAAGAATAGTACTGTGTCAAAGTTGTTGGTGGTGAGCTTTTTTGCTTATTAGGTTTTACTTTTTCGAGTAAAAGTTAAGAATAAAGTAATTCACCCTCAAAAACATAAAGCTGCCTTATGCAACTATGCCAAAACAGGTCTGCTGATATTACCACTAGTTTTAAAATATATTCAGTGTTAAGGTGGCGTGAAAGGATTTGATAAGCTTTGTATTCGTGTAACGTTCAATAAAGTATTGTTTTTGTAACTGGTAGAAGTGTCTTTAATATATAATTGAAATAATTTCAATGTAGAAATATTCACGGGAGCAGGAAAGTGGCCGTTTTGGGGAGGTAGGGGTGTAATATGACACCTGTTTTTTCAGGGGGAGGCAACACTGCCTTCCTTAAAAAAATGCCTATTTTAGCATATAAACTGTTTGTAACATGATAAAAATAGATCAATAAAACTGAAACTAGACAGAAGCGGGACCAACAAAGCATGTTACAGATCAAGTTTGGTGATCTTTTACAACGAAAAGTGGGTTTTGGTATACACCGTTTGGCGGTCATTAGTTAACTAGCCTGAATTTCAGCCACCTCCGCTCGCTAAGCCACTTGGGGAGAGAGACGACATCTCTCAGACTCCCCGAGTGACTTAGCGAGCGGAGGAGGTGGCTGAAATTCAGGCTAGAGAGGTTATTTTGGCAGTCGGGACATGTTTCAGTGGCTGTTGCCATTGTGGAAAGGTGGCCTTTGTAGAGTGGTTCCTGTTAGTGGAGGTTTGACTGTGTTGTTCTCAACAAAAAACTGCCGAAGTATCTACAATGTAAATTCACTTTCAAAACGTTTAAAAAAAACCATTCACTTTCAAAACGATTTTATTTGGACGATTTTTCTCTTTGCTTGCATTAATCTGTATACAATGTTCTACTTTTAAACTACTCGAATAAACTACTCTAATGCTATATTGAACTTAGCAAACATCTAACAGGAATAAAAGCATTAAAAAACGTCTAAAAAATAGCAATAGAGTGAAGTAAAAATTCTGGCTGCTGTGTACAATTGTCCTAAAAGAAAACTATCAAAGCACAAACAAAGCCAGAAAATAATTCCTGGGGTTTGAACTTTTTGCACTTGCTGAAAATTTAATGAAAATGGAACATTACCAAGGATGTTTATTGTTTAGGACAGTTGTGGCAGACTTGTGAGTAAGCACTAATTCTCTTTTTATCATTGTATAAAGACACCAGAAAGCTTTGCTTCCTGGCTTTGGTAGTAGCAGTAATAGAAAATTAAACAATCAATGTCAACAATGAAGAAATAATAAAGTCTAGCCAACCAACTAAACGTAGGCCAAAAAGTTGTCACTTAGAGTACAATAAAAAGTCATTAACTGTAACAATAAATTACTATTCACCATTGTACAAAACTGCTAATAAAATATTAATCCACAAACTAAGTAGTCATTTTTTGACATTTTTAAAGAGGCTTTGGCAGCTTTTTTCGTAGATCAAGAGGTACTGCGAGACCACTTTATGCATTTCCGGAAGTGTCTTCTATTTTATAGAACTTTAACAAGAGACACAGTCAGCTTTGGGACTGCATTGACCTGGACAGTAGTTTTCTCACTTTGAAAAGAGTTCACCTCGACCTGAAATCAAATGTACGTGTCGAGTACATCTAGAAATCTGCTTCAATCTTTGCAGTGTTTTGCTTGACTTTCAATCATTTATGGAAAAACCTGTTTTTGAGTGTGCTTTTGCTCATCCTATGATATTAATTAATCATATTTTGTTAAGAGCAGTATGGATCGCATCTCTGTGATACGCAAATTAACTATGAAATGGTATCTAATGGGCATGTACGCCAGCTGACTGTGTCCCTTTAAGAGTTGAGAATATTTTTATGCAGAGCATGAGGCTAGTTTCTGACAATAAGGGGATTTAAGCATGAATGAAGTCTGAAAAATCCCCCAAAAGTTGCAAAACATTCAGATTGAATTTTTTGTAGCACAAATCTGTAGTGTTGCACAAATCAGAAGGGTTGCACAGCCAGTATTAGAGTGGGTAGTCAACTACATGTTAGACTGTCAACAAAATTAATGTTGATGATGTGAGTGAAACCAGAGCAGGTCACTCCTTTCCCGGCTTTGTTTGCATCTGGTCGACAGTGTCAACCAGAATTGTTGTACTAGACTCCAAGGTCTTCATTCTCATAGGTTCAAGAAATTTAAATTTGCATGATAACTAATTAAAAATGATATACAAATAACAATAAAGAGGTGTGCCTTCTGTACCTGACTTCTCATCAATGCATTTTTCCACTGGCCTTTCTCCAAACTTGAACATTTCCTGACAATTGCAACTGACACTAAAAATAAGTTATAATCTACAAGTGCTTACAATAATGGTGCCCGGCAATTACTTTTCTGACACCAAGCCACTTTACTGTGGACTTACGCACGTTTAAAGAGATGTCAAATATTATTTACAGTTGCTTAGAGTTAAACAACTCTTCATCTTAGTACAACTATTCTTTGTAAAAGATTTATTCTGGATAATCTGCATAATTTGTAGTGTCCATAACAAAGAAGTCTTCTAAGCGCCACTGAAGAGTTTCGAATGTTGGCCGTAACATGGGTTCAGCTTTCCAGCAATCTTTCATGATATTGTAAAGACTTGATGGACAGTTCGGCGGACAAGGCATGCGATAGCCTCTTTCAACCTGAGCTAATACCTCTGCATTACCCATTCCTGGATAAGGGACCCGTCCATAAGTTATAAGCTCAGTAAGCAAAATTCCAAAGGCCCACACATCAGACTTAATTGTAAATTTATTGTACAAGGCAGCCTCTGGCGCTGTCCATTTGATGGGAAATTTGGCTCCAGCCCTTGCATTGTATTCACCTTCATCAATAATTCTTGAAAGTCCAAAGTCACAAATCTTGACCACATTATTTTTGCCCACTAAAATGTTCCTTGCTGCCAGGTCACGATGTATGTAATTGTTAATTTCTAAATAAGCCATTCCACTGGCAATTTGTGCAGCCATGTAAATCAACTGTGGAAGTTGAAGCTCCCGACCTGCAGGGCTTTTCAAGATATCCAATAAACTTCCATTCTCCATTAACTCAGTCACTATGTAAATTGGCTCCTCTTGTGTACACACAGCATAAAGCTGAACCAGGTTATCATGACGCAGTCTTTTCATAATTTGCGCCTCTGAGAGAAATGCCTTAGGTGACATTGTGCTTGGACGTAATGTTTTAACTGCAACAGGTGTTGTGTTATTCCACAGTCCCATCCAAACCTCCCCAAACTGTCCTTGACCAAGCTTTTGCACCAATCGGATGGAGTCGCGTGGGATCTCCCACTTGTCTTTTGTATTGTATGCAAGATCCTTGGGTGCGGGAGTGTGAAGGGTGGGGCAAGGCTTGCTAAGCTTAATGACGAGTCCATCTGCGTTTTCTTGGTAGTGTTCCACAAGCTCATTCAGGGTTGCAAACTTAGCTCTATGAGCAATGTAGAAGCCTCCACTATCCATGGATCGGATGCGGTAGTGTTTCACAATTTCTCCATCTCGCAGTGAAAGGGAGAAGTCTCCTGGTTTACTCTCACTTTCTCTAATTAAGAAGGATCCACTTTCTCCATGCATTAGAAGCATTTTTTCAGCATCTACTCTTTTGATTGGTCCAAAGAACCAGCTTAGTAAAGAAACCAGAAAAAATTGATTGAGTTATTTTGAAATTATTTTAATTAGCAACAATAATCACAACTTTTTAACGTTGAAGTGTGTTTGAATCATGTTGTACAGTGGATGCAACAGTTTAGCTGGGGTAAATGCAGGCTATATAAAATGATATGTTTTTCCATTATTTCAAATTCTACAATTTAACAGTGGAATCTTTGTCATGTTGCTTACTGAATGTGAACCCTTATTTCCATGATCATAAAAAGGTCAAAGCTCTGCCTCAGTAAACATACCCTGGCAGAACATGCATAAAAATTTGCTCACAGTAAATTTCTCCACACTTCATTTCTTCATCCATATTTACCTCTCCTCCATAGATTTTTCTTTTTCTGAAAGCTTGTCCAGTAAACCTCATTGTTACATATTAATGGCAAAATAACACAGCTTGAAAAACACTTGAATTGCAGCTTGCCCTTTGGACAAGTAGAGCTCTCTCAAATTGGCTTGCCCTGGGCAAGTCTTAGTTTGCTCTTTTAATGATTTAGTTGGCAGATGACTTGCCTGATCCCTTGCCAACTGGGAGGGTGAGAATGAAAGGTTACTTGCCCAGCAGGAAAATCTACTTGTCCCAGACAACAGGGTGGCACTTTTTTCAAGCCCTGAATATGAGACCCAATTTTGCGTGTAACTTATCTGCAAGTCATAAAATTTGAACTGCATATTAATTATGTGTCTTTTTGTTTGCCTAAGCATTTGCTGACCTGCCTGCCTCAGCCCTTCTTATCAAACTGTCCTACTTGTAGCTACCAAATTTCGTGGCTCTTGCCGACATAATTATTTTTGTAAACACTTTCTTTGAGCCTTGATTTGTTTTGCAAATGAGAAAGTCCTGGTGGTAGTCTTGCCATCTTGTGAGGTTTCAAATTCACTGTTTGCCACCCCTAATAGTGTTTTGCAATATTTAGAAATATAATATACAAGAAAAAAAAAAAAACATCAAGAGAAGTAAAAGGAGAATACAAACAAGAAAATCAGGATTGCATGAAGTGATCAAGCTAAGTCTGCCTTTGATTGAAGCTTTCAGATTGTATTAGAGAACCTTTCTCGACATGGGTGCATTTCATGTCCACACTGGCGTATCTAAAGAGAAGCTAGTTTGTCACAACATGGGGGGTTCTATTATCTTGTTTACTCAAAACAATTTATATTACAAAAGCAAACACATCTTATCACTGTCAGTTTCATCCATAATCCTTTTTAACTGAGTGTATTTATGCACAATGTATAAGTAATTGGAGACATCATGTCTTTCCTTCTACTGGCATTTGATATTAGACTTACGGAATAAAACAAAGAAAAGCATCTTTTATGTTTTTATTTCTGCTCCATTTTTCAAAAGCCGGAAATTGCGGTCTGGTTGGCTCGATTTCACATTCGGTGCTCTCTTCTTGACTTAAAAATTTTAGCCCGTGTAATTAAATTAGCATATTTCTCAAGTCACGCAAAAGAAAACGAAATTAAGGCGCTCTGAATTTTTTCTTCATTCTGCGATAGCATCAATAAAAGAATTGATTTTCTTTTACAGAATAGAGATCTGCACCCAGCGTTTCTGGAATCTTATTAGAAAACAATTCAGACTTCCTAAGGCTTCAGTAATATTTATTCTCAAGCACGTTCCGTTGAAATTTCCCAGTGGGTTCCGTTTCGAATCTAAAACAATGACGATGTCAAATAATAAACAACTGCTCGTTTCGTCTGACACTTTTGGGCACAAAATGCCCTGAAATAAAACCTCCAAGTTGAGTGTTCAACACCATGGTTGACCCAAAGCGTTAAAAATGACAAATCTCACAAATCTACCGGCCGCTCAGGCAAAGAAAGCGCTGTTCAATTTGAAATCGGAGCGCAAATTCCCGTCGAGTTTTCGATGAAAGTGTCCTTGTCTGCCTGAACCTTGGCAGACCGTTTCACTTTCGGGTCGCGGTAGAGTGCAGGGACACGAAAGCTACAAAATTTTCTTCGTGGTCTGTCTTTTGTTGTAGGCTTAATTGTATAATTGCAGACTACCGCTCGCTTTAAGAAGTGGCTGAAATGGAAGCTTGAATAAAGAAACTTCCGCGAATGTACAGAACTGTAAAAGTTAACTTACTCTTCGCTCTTCAGAGAGGCCGCCGGGGCAACATAATTACTGGGGATGTAGCCAACAGCATTTGTGGCCAGGGAACGTGCCTGCCACCAATCTGCTCCATTCAGCGCATCGTTACTGTTAATCACTTCGAGTTTTTCTCCTTTCTTAAAACTAAGGTCCTCCGCTGTTCTTGCTTCGTAATCGTACAGCGCAACAAACAACAGCTTCTGTTCAGCCGGCTGTTGGGGAATTTCAGGGAGGGCAGGCAGCACTGGTAAAGCTTCATGATTCTGCAAATCCTTTTCGTCAGCGTTCACGTTATCAAAACTTTGAGCAGTTTTCGAAGTCTTACCGTTTCCGTTCGCTTCGTGTCTGCTTCTCTTGCTATAAGCACAACCCATTCCATGCACTGTTTTTCAGAAGATAGTGTTAACTGCGGTTGTCAGTTTCAAGTGAATGTTATGATTACAACACAACTACAAGTGCCGTACGCGAAAAGCAATATAAATTCAGAGTTTCCTATCCTTTTTCCGCCGAACCGGATTGAAGATCAACAATACAAAGAAAACTTCTCCGAACGAGGCGGCTCCCATTACGTCATTGCCGATGACACACCGAACTAATCCCGACTACCACGAACAATTCCGAAAACTTTCGACGAATTTCGTGCCCAGTTCAGCTCGACCATTTCTTCAAAATTTGTGTTCAATATGGCGGAAAGAGGCGGCTCTTCGCTTTCAGGAAATTCAAGTTCCTCTGGGTCTTCAAGTCGAATTGACAGTGTTCAAGTAGATGGATTGGTAAATATAACTCACTTACAGAATTTTTACTCGCCTCTAGTTCACTTCTGTTTCTAAATGTAGCAGAAAAGTCGTAAAATATTGTTACACGTGATCGCATATAATTAAGCTAGCTAAAATGAATTTGACTCTCATTTCATTGTGTAAGGGCTTTTCCTTATATCTTTTCTTACTTAAAAACATTAAGGCCGTTGAGGAAGTATCCAGGGTCGTGTAAAATGTGAAATATTGTTGAAAATTATCTTACTTAGATTAAATTGATTTTACCTTGTCAGTCACTCGATACAAATCCATTAGTAATTTTAAAGCTTTAGAAAAAGGCACCTAGTGGCCCAAATCACTGCCGCGGTAGTAACTTATGTGATTGCTTCAAGGTTGTGTTGAAAATAATCAAACATTGTCAAGATGAAAGATCAGCTGGAGAGGTGGTACAAGGAGTGTTACTTGGATTAATTCAGAATAACAAACTTGAGATCACAAACTGCTTCCCCTTCCCGTCATCAAGAGCTGGAGATGACGATGATGAAGATGATGGTGAGAGAATTAGTAAATAAGTAGCTTCTCAAACCTAGTTGTTAACTACAGTCAAACCTCCACTAACGGCCACCTTCCTACAGCAGCCACCTCTCTTCAACGGCCACTTTCTTTTGTCCCTGCTGAATGTCCATACATTAACTTTTATTTTAACCTCTCTACAACAGCCACCTCTCCACAATGGTAACGGCCACCAAAGCATGTCCCAAAATACCAAAATAACCTCTCTACAATGGCCAGTTAATCAACTACTGACCAATGGTGAATACAAATCCCCATTTTACGTTTTTTCAAAAAAATATAAAACTTGATCCGTTCCGCATGTCATTGGTCTCTGTTTCTGTATGGTTTCTGTTTTATTGCTATATTTTGATTGTGTTAGGTATTTTTCTGTTTTACAGTCAATTATCAGATGGAGATGATGCGTCGCTTACGAGCTGTTAACGTTGATCACTTGCACGTGGGGTGGTATCAGTCAACTTACCTTGGGTCATTTGTGAACAAAACATTACTTGACTCGCAGTTCAGTTACCAGAGTGCAATTGAGGAATCTGTTGTGCTTATTTATGGTAAGAACAGAATGATTCTGTTATATAAAAATCAGTAGTATACTGAGAGGCAGCAAATTGATAAAAACGGTATCCCACATGTGAGGATATCATTTTTATCCACACATATGTGATATCATTTTTGAAAACATCTTTGTCCCTTTAACTGCACTTAAATTTGTTTGTATATGATCGAAGCATCTTCAGATCTTCTTTAGAAGTCTTCAGCAATCTTTGGTTATCTTTGAAAATTGTCAGAAAAATGTTCAGAAACGTTCGTCTGACCTTTGGACAAATTTTGAACTATCTTCGGAAATCTTCAGAAAATCACCAAAAACATTTTTGTATTGTGAGAATATTTTTCAATACTTGAACAGAATTTTGTATCTCCATGCAGCCATGTAATATCCTCTACATCATACCTCTTTTCCACTACTATTAATACTCCTTTTTGTCTGTTCAGATCCATTGAAAACCTCTCAAGGAATGCTGTCTCTCAAGGTATTCCGTTTGTCTGATAAAATGATGACAATGTACAAGGATGCAGAATTCAGTGCTGAAAGGTGAGAAACACCTCATCAAGTTAAGATACTTTTAATTTTTAAACTACTTATACATGCATATATATATTGATCTCTCAGTTGATAAGTTGAAGTGAAAAAAAAATAGTTTATGTGTAATTCTGTTATAAGTGAATCAGTGCGAGAACTTTCTTTTCCTTGAATATTTCACTTAAAATAATGAAAAGATAATATCATCATGTCCTAACCATTATTAATACCATTTTTTTTTTTTTTCAGGCTTGCAAAAAGTGGTCTAAGTTTTGAGGCCATGTTTGAGGAGATTCCGCTTGTGATAAGGAATTCGTCTCTCATCAATGCTCTGCTCTGTGAAGTTGAAGTGTTATCACCTCACACACAAACAAATGATTTCCTCAGTCTCTCAACTGGGTAAGACCTGACTTTCCTTAGTATTGGAGTATTGGGCAAATGTCCCTAATCATAATCATTCGAATATTTTCGCTCACACGCAATTGATCTAAACATGTCGTGTTACTGAAAATTCCCCAGCTAATACTGGGGAATATCCAACTGATATTGCCCAGTTTTCAAAACTGCACATGTTTCGAAAAATATTTGAAGGATAATAAACACCATAGCCTTCATTAAGCACAAAAATACATGTATGCTCAGATAGTTGTCTTGGAACATTATGTGTTCCTCGTAGCTCACAGTTTTCCTCGAGCTATGCTCTTGAAAAACTGTTCACTTCTCGGAACAGATAATGTCCGCAGACAAATATCGTTGTACATTTTCACATGAAATGGAGGCTATTGTTTATTTAATTTAAAACTATCAAACAGCCATTTAAGGTGTAATGATTGTGTAAGCAATGGTCTCAAAATAAACAATCTTTGGCTACTAATTTCATTGTGCTGTTTCCATTTCTGGCATCCATTTAGTGCCATAGTATTATTTTTCATATTT